ATTCTTTTCTTTCTTCCTTTTTAACTACAGATTTAATGTACACAAAGCATAATTCATTTAAATCGGCTTATTTCCGAGAAATTAACTCTAAATTGAAAAGCGTAAAAAACGATTGTTTAGGTATTAGAAATAGAATCATGTTTAAAGACATTAATCTAAGCATAATTTTAAAAGATGAGTGCCCTAAATACTTCATTTTATAATTTTTCTCATTAATCGTTAATAGATATTTTAATTTTACACCTGCTCTTATTTATTTTTTACCCTATGCGAGTGCCATAATCCGCACCGTCCGTGTAACTGTGTTTAAACATAAGCATGAATAATATTTCTCCAATACGAATAAATTCATATAAAAAAACTTTTTAAGATATAAAATTTACAGAAAGGTCTTGAAAAGGCTTACCCGTTTATAAAATTTTAATAGGCCGTTCTATGTATGGAAAACTTCTTCAGATATTATAATATTGGAAGACTGTTGTCTAGCATCAGAACAAGCCCACGAAATTCATCGTGGCAAGACTACAAGATTACGACTGTTGTTGCCAAGAGCCTTGGGCACCATACAGGTAACAGTACAACTTTCCTCAGTTTCGCGCCCGATTTTTCAGGAAAGCATCTTGGGGGTGGGGCGGGTCCGAAGGTGTCAAATCAGTCTTCCTGTACCATAACCTCTCTAGAGGACTTCAGATTCGCAACATATTTTGAGTGCCCCTATGCTACACAAACACTATACATTTGGAGACATTTATGCCTTCTCCGCGATTCGGACCCGGGCCCTTCGGTACGGCAAACAGAGTCATTAACCACTACCCCGGCTGGGCGGCGTAGGAGCCCATTATGAGGACTACTTGTTAGCAGCCTTTTCATTATAATGATCGATACAAAAATCTCCTAGCTAAGAAGAGGATATTAAACTAATTCTGCCATTGCGGCCATTCGTTAGAATACTTTTTTTTTTTTTTTTTTGTAGGCATTTAACTAAAAGCGTCAACAAAACATGTCCATTCTTATTACCTTATCAGAATAAGATTTTATTATAAGTAGGAAAGTTACATTTAGTTAATCAACGGATTTTATTTCTTATTTTTTTTATTAAAGATGTATAAAAAAGAACAAGTACTGAAATCAATGAGCGCCAGAAGAGTTCAGAATTAGTCAGTTGTTCTGACAGCTGAAAAAAGAAAATGCCTCAAAAGATAGTAAACTTTGAAGAGGAGAAACGGGAATTTTAGAAAAGAAAGAATAAGAAGATGACAGGATTTTAATTTTTTAAAAGATTCATTAAGTGTTAAAACACTACTACGAGAGCTAAGTAAGAAAGGTAACCAAGTTTTGAAAACAAGAACAGTAAGTATAACTATTGATTAATCAATAGTTACACTTACAACTAAGGTAATTTACTTCGTGTTTATGGAAAAACTGACAAGCAAAAATAATGCGATTTTTGAACCTGTTACCTCTGATTAGGAGAGCTAATATTCTCAGTGGGAGAGGGTCCTAACATTTCATTCCTTCTTTCTTGTAGTCCTTTTCACCCGCTTGTCTCAAGAGACTCGGCATCGAAAGGCCTGAAAGCCAGTTTGTGACTTGTTACACTCAGACATCATTTCACTCATACTCAAGACATACTCAAGACATCATTTCACTCAATTTCTGCTCCAGCCTCGCAGCAGCAACCTCCTTCACGGCAACCAACTCTTACCCCTTTTTTCTGCATCTCAACACCGTTTCCGTCCTTCGGAGCCCAGCTGTCATAGATGTGGCTTTAGAACAGGCGCCGGTTTACGGCTATATTTCAACAGAACTGATAAAGTCGCGCTCATTGGTATTGTCATTAGTACATAATATCACTAACCATCCTCGTCACTACGATTAGAAAACGCTCGTCTCATAGCAAATATTCAGTTTCTTCCGCTTTGTATTCTAATTGCAATTGATATTTTTATGTAATCCTATTTGCATCAATGTACACTGCCGCACATACGCACACACAAAAAGAAAATAATAATAAATAAATAAAAATCCGAAAGCTTTCATATTTTACATTACGCCCAAAGGGACTTTTTTAACGTTTTGTGTGTTACCTTTATTTATTAAATATTATGTTCTTTGCACTTAAAATCTTTGCACACCATAAAATTCAATTCAAAATCAATATCGCAAAATAATTTTAAAATGAGTATACCTTTAGATTTTTCGATACACAGTGTTGCCATTGCTCTCTTTGGAATCGTTGAGTTTCTTAATCAAAAAATTTTTACAAAATATAAAATAGATAATAAAATAAATTCCAAATTTGGGCTTTTAGATGCCCATATTCGGGTGGAAACGTACGTTATTCAAAATTGGATGGCTCTAGGTACGGTTGTTTTATCACAATACGAGGAACATAGATACATTTATGCAAATTGTTCATTATTTAATTTCTTTAAATATAACACAGGGCTCTAATATTTGGTAGTAACAATTTAAAAAGTGAACCGATATTTCAATGCAAAATGCCAAACCGAAATTAATAGTCCTTCTGGGCAAATTGCCTCTTTGGACTAATAAATAAAATAAAATAAAAATAAAAGGGGGGCGGCGATTAGAATAATTGAAACTTTTAGATAAAACGTTGTTGCTATATTTATGATATAATGGTTTCTAGAATATAAATGTTGTTACTAATTGCGGAAATTTAGAAGAATTAGAAATTAATGCTGAAATTGAGAAGATTATAATTTGTCATGTTTACGCAAAATTTAAAATAAAAGTGCTAAGAGAAGACTTTTTAATTTTAATAAATGTCTTTAAATCCAGATTTGATGAAGCAAATTATAAAACTGAAATGATGAAGCAAATTATAACACTCGATCAAATTTAGCTGACCTCCGTGAGTTTGACGAGTCTATTTTAATATAAAATCTCTCCCAAATGTTATGCTTTGTCTAATATGATGGGTATTAAAATTAAATAACGAATTACAAACTAATTTAATAATATATATAATGAAAACTGTGTGATCCAGAGAATAATAAAACAGCGAATATGCTGACAGAGCAGATTAGTAATACTATGATGAATGAAAATAATGATATTGAGTGTAAATTGGATTTAAATAATCTTTGAGTACAGAAACCTTCTTTGTGCATCTCCCTACAAATTTTGTATTAAGGTATTTCCATAGAAAAGGAAACAAATAGTGAAATACTAGATTAATTAAATATTTTAAAAATTTAATTAGGATTTTTTTACTTTGATGAATATGAATGTTTCCGAAATGTATACATATGATGTTTATGAAATGTATATGTATGATGTTTATGAAATGTGTATGTATGATGTTTATGAAATATTTCATAAATATATCACATCAAAAACTGAAATTTAAATTTAAATTCTTTAGTATCTTGATTAAAATTTAAGTCAAATGTTTGCATATTATTTTAATTTATGTTAAAATGCACAATATGTTGATTAAATAATGAATAGAAAGGATTCAGATAAGTATTTTTGAGAAATTTCTGTTATCATTTTCATTTCGAAACACGTCGAAATATTTTAAAACTTCTGTAATTTGAAAGCAAAATCGTATACATGGTAAATAATGACTCAAATATTTAATTTGAATCTTTAAGTTCAAATCTTTCACTTAAAAGATGAAACATAGATAAAAGTATGTAAATAAATGTTTTTCGCAGTATAGAAATTTCACTGTTTTTATTAAGGCACTCTGTCAATCGAAATCGATTGATTCAGTCCTGATTAAAAACTAAATGAATTTCATATTTCATATTTAATTATTTTCTAATGCTTTAAATTACGTACAGTAAAGGATCGATGTTAATGCTAATAAAAATGGAAAAATAAGAAAATAACATTTCACTAAGCTTTAATTCAGATAAAGCTTATAACGAATTAATCAGATAATTTTATTAAAATTCCATGCTAATATTTTGAAAAGAGTCAGCGACCAGCTTTAAAAGTAATTTCTTTTCTAATTTAAAACAACAATATTTCGGACAATAATTGGGAAATATACTCCCATATCAAAGTTTTCTCAATTTTCATTGTTAAACTGATATTACTGGATGACATTTACACAGATGTAAGCGTATTTTGTCGTTCTTATTTAAATATTTCTTAAAAACATTGTAAATCAAACACACAAATGATTTTTTTATATTGAATTATTTTGATAAGGATAAATTTTAGTTAATCGTTAAATTTAAACGCTTAATAAGTTACACGTTATTCTTACATACCAATATCTTCAAATTAAATTTTAAATTAATTTAGTTTTCAGGATTTTAATGAATACCAATAAGAAGAAAATTCAAAGATACAGAAAATACACTTACTCTGCATTGAGAGTTGATTCCACGAATATGTTACTTTAAGACAACACACTTCAAACTTGCCTAGTTGATTGTGTTCGATCAGTAGCCTAAGTTTTCATTTAAATACCTTTTATAAGTATTTCTTCTCAGAGCAATTACAATTACATTTTGCATCAATGAAAGTATTAATATATGTTTCAATGAAATCGCAGAAAATATTTCTAAACTTTTATGTTATTGCTTTATAAACCAATTACAGATGTTGTCTAAAATGTGCTTTGATATTAAGTGCACAAATCTTGAGTGCTTATCTTAAAAAAAGCAAAGAATTGCTCGCTTATTTATAGTAAGGAATAGCGTTGTTTTAATAGAAGGTTATACGCACCTGGATTAACATCCATAAGAAATCCACGTTAGTAAGCTTTTGGTGCATACGCAGTCGTGAAACAAATTGATTATAATGAAGCGGATCTAGTACCAATCATCTCCAACCCTCATCTCATTCACATCCGGAGCTCGTTCGCCATACACTACGGCTCGTAGTTGCTGTTTTCACCAACACATCGTTTCTCTGTTTTGTGATACGGCAAAATGGTGAGCCGTAATCTCACCTTTAAGCACATTGTGATCAAATACATTAAAATCACCCAAATAATCACTAATCCCTTTACTTAGCAGTTCTGTGCCAGGAGAGCCAAGTACATGGAATGAGGGCGTGCTTCCTGCTGCGTTATATTATTAAGTGATATCCAACTTTCTGATGGAAGGATGTAGCTGACAGATATTGCCGCTAAAAGTGTTCATATTCACAAAACGTGGCCCTCGCCGAAACCCGAAAGGCGGTAATTCCCACCAAGATGGTGAATAATGAGGAGGAAGAAAAGATCAATGTTGGAGACGATGAACAGATGGTAAGTTTGTTTTGATTACATGTTATGTATATTTGATTGTATATTATGAATTATTATTCAACACTGTATTAATACCCTTAAGATGAATTGTGATAAGGATAAGTAATAACTCAGCCTAAAGCCTTATGTAAGATGTTAAATTCGTCATTAAAAACTGTAGCATAAAGTATATTTAAGATAGTATATCATGCAATATCTCAGATTTTGAAAAAGATAACTTTTTTACTCAATGAAGCAGAGAAAATAATATACAGCTGAAGCTAATATTCAGTTCAAATAGTATATTTTTTGTTTTGATAATTATATATGTGCTAAAAACTGATTTTTAGTTATAGTTTTAAAATTACTTAAATATTCCTTTAAAGGAGTGGTATTTAAACTGTGTTCTGAAAAACCCTGGTGTTCCACAAGTCCAAACCCGGGCTTCCGAGAGTCAAAATAAAAATTCGAAAAGAAAATTATAAAGCTCTTATATTACAGAGTGCTAGCTAACTAGTGTTTATTAACTAAAAATTAAGATGCATTTAGTTATAGATTAATTTTTAAAGCTTAATGACTTGCAGTGTTTCGCCGAGATAAACAGTTTTTCAATGAAATTTGAATTAAACTTAGACGACAGTGCTAAAAGTTATAGTACAACTGAGCCCCTTTTTCAGTTGACGAAAACTGTAAAAGAATATTTCCCTGAAGGAAACTAAATATGACTGGATAAAAAATCCATTCGAGTGCGACAATAAATCAGAAGGCTTGCCAATGAAAAAAATGGAAATAAATTATTAACATATAACATTATGAATGTACTAATTACACAATTATTTAATTAGCATATTACTTATTGTATATTATATGTCTATCACTAAGGGACTAGGGTGTTGATTGTGATTGAAACTGAAGAAACTCAATGGTCCCATTCATAAATCATCCGTCACATTATCATGACGTCTTTAATCCATATTGCACTGATCTTGATAAAAGTTATCGAACGTAAATGACATTTTTACTTTTGAATGACACAGATTTATTTCCCCGAGATTAAAAAGATATTTTGAATAAAGCATTCAGCTTTTAGTGAAATTAATAATAAGTGATGAATATTTCTTTAGAAACAATCTGAAATGAGTACTACGCACTTCTTCAGATGTATTGTTCAGTTCCGGTTAAATAATTAAAAGTACTTTCAGCATCGTTTTCTGAAAATTACGGGATTTAAGAATTCATTAACAACATGAGTAAATTTCTTTGCCTCTTTTGTTGTGGATTTGTCTTAATTTTACTTCATAGAACATTAGCATCAGCAAACTAGATACTGGAAAACAATGAAAGTAAAACGTTCATGGTAAGTGTTGCATAAATTTTTCATTGAGGGCATTTAATTTAATTGTTCAGTTTCAAACGTTATTGAATCAAAATTTAACTAAATTTATCAATGTGTTGTCAACAGCAGCAAGAGAATAACCTTTATCACAAGAGACCTTTATTGATTATTTATTAGCAAGAGAATAACCCAATTTCAAAATACGCGCTTGGAAATGAAATTATACATACGTATAATTATATATATATATATACCAAATGTATTTAGTTTTATGTATGTGTGTACGCACTATAAATCAGTGGCGACAGATTACAGAAAATTATTTATTGTACAAGCATATTCTGCATTACCGGCGGTATTTACTTGGTTTTATCTCCTTTATTCTGAAATTATGGATATCCTAAAGTCCAAGTTCAAACTCGGTTAATTATTCGATTTCTCGAGTTAAATTCAATCAGAAGAAATTTTACCTTCCGGGTTTATCAAGCACAGATAAAAGATTTTGAACTTTAAAAACACTATATTACAAATAGTACCAATGTTATGCTAAAGCCTTTTGAACTAAATATATAAGAATTAATTTATTGTCAATAAAATACTTTAGTTCTTGAAAATAATTTATTATTTACGATGAAACAACAATTCATAAAACGAAAAGAGCTATTTCTAATGAACCGTATAAAAGTAAGTGTATTCAAACATAATTATTTAGAGTTAGTTAGCAATGCCCATAAGCGAATTTTTTCGGCTATTATTGAGTCTCGGAAGGATCTGGCAAAGTGTCAGTTTTAATTCAGATCTGAACATTACATTGTTTAATATTATCTTGTAATCAATAACCCAGTTTAGAACACTTGATCGAATTTCTTAGCCTTAAGCCTAGTATCTTCGGTTTGGAGGAGGGATACCTTTCAAATGCAAGCCAGATGAAACCTCTGCGGATCTTCTACAGCTGAATGCTCGGCATTGTTGATGACGGCTCAGGGTGCAAAACAATCAGATCAAAAACGATTGGGAGTCGCCGCGTCACGTGATGTAACAGAGAAGCGTAAAGGCGTCTCATTATCAGTCCTTTTGGAGGTTGGCACTCAGCCATAATCAAGATGCATTGACAAGTGTGAAACTAAGGTTTCCTCAATCATCTGAAAATAGTTCTATAAATCATTGATTACTTCTTCAATATGCAATGTCTTCTTTCAATTTTATTTTAATTTATTTGAAGAAAAAACGCTTTAAATGATTTTGTATAAGATGTTTCTGTGCTTACAAGCAAGATTTCGAGAAGGACTTGAGTATTTATGCCTAACAAATTCACATTGCAGAGACATTAGGATTTTTTGGAAGCCAGAGAGATCAAAAATTAGCAATCGTCTTCGCCGGGAATCGAACCACGGACCTCTGGAATACCGGTCCAGTGTGCAGAACCACTACACCACGAAGGCACGCTAGGAAGGCTGGAGAAACACCTTATATACTCCCCCTTTTAAAGGGCGTCTGGGGTTTTTAGGGGACCCAATCGCCAAATCTTGGGTGTGGAGAATCCTCATCACACACCCTTTTAGTTCGAGCACCACTTGTAGAGACATTAGGATTTTTTGGAAGTCGGAGAGATGAAAAATTAGCAATCGCCTTCGCCGGGAATCGAACCACGGACCTCTGGAATACCGGCCCAGTTTTCAGAACCACTACACTACGAAGGCACGCTAGGAAGGCGGGAGAAACACCTTATAACATAATGCACATAAATGATCGTTTTAACATAACCAGTAAAAGAACAGATTGCTGACTAAAAAGTTCTAGTTGATGCTCATGAAAGTTAACAATTTGATTAACTTTCAATGATATTAACTCATAGTTTTGCTTTTGAAAATAATTCAGCTTCTGTTTTGCTTCTGAATGTGTATGTGTACGCCTTTAACGAATTATTCAAAATAGGAAAAATATGAAGCAAGTGTGTTAGATTCATACTTGTGTGTTTAATTATTGAAGAGTTCTATTACCACATTTGTTAAGGGACTAAAATGAAAATCACTGCATATTGAATTTAAAATATCTAATATACGAAGTTGTTATATTTCTTATCTACGGCATGAGTTTCTCAGCATGATGTTGTGGTCTCATTATAATCAGAAAATTCATTATAAAAAGTTTTGTGTAACATAATATTCTTCAGTAGAAATCTTCAATTCATAACATAAATCGAAATTTTCTGATTTCATGCGTTTATTTATTTATGGCAGAATGCACCGCCTATCGTTTTCTACTTGTTACTAAGTGTTACGTATGATAGTTTGAAGGACTTCTTTCCAGAACAGAAGTTGACAGTTATTATATAAGTTTAAGGCAAAGTATGATATAGTATGATAGTCAGTATATATTCCAACTAGTCTATTCTTTGTGTTTTGATAATTATGTTTAAGAATTTGAGCTCTGAGACTTCTTACGGTGTAGCACATCAACACTTAATTGAGACGGAAGTAAATTCTTTATTATGTTTACTGTGTATTATGGAGCAGTTTAAAAAAGTAAATATTATCAAATTATGATTTCGTAACTAAACTTGTAGCTTGCAACTTTATAACTTGTTTTGTAACTAAAGTTTTGATAATACTAAGCCTTTTAAGGTTATTTAGAGGGAAATTTGGAAATTCCTATACGTTTGAATAAATATTTGGAGCCGGATATCAATTGAAGTTATAAAAATAGAAACTCTTTGGAAACGGATATCAGCCGAAGTTATGAAAAGAGAAACCGTTTGAAAACGGATGCCAACTAAAGTTATAAAATGAGAAACCGCTCTGAAACGGATGCCAGCTAAAGTTATAAAAAGAGAAACCGCTCGGAAACGGATGCCAACTAAAGTTATAAAAAAAGAAACCGTTTTTAAAACTTCACTTCAATCCCTTTTCTCAAGTTGTGCAAAGTTATGATAGAAAAACCGTTCTCCAGGTACAAGCTCGGAAATCACAAAATCCTGACAAGAAAATAAATAGGATAAAGCTTACAGAGAGAAAAGCGAAGTTTTGTGACAAAATTCTATGAAAACTACAGGGTGCGGCAGAAATAACTCCCGATTTCAAACGTAAATAATAAGGAAATGATAGGTATTATTCAAAATTTTATATCATAGTTTGAAAGATCAATTTTTACCATTTTGGTTTTGACATTCACCTTCATTTCGTTCTGAAAATGATGTCGTCCCGAATGCTGACCTCCACACTCTATGCATTTCATTACCCTCCTTGTCATTTTCTGGTATTGACGAAATTCCTTGGCGGATAGTAGCTTTCAGTTCCTCTGCTGTTTGTGGCTTATTTTTGTAGACTTCAGATGCCTCCAGAGGAAGTATTCATAAGGTGATAGATCTGAGGAACGAGCTGGCCATGAAATGCTCCCTCCTAGCGATATCAGGCGCTTCGGAAGCATTTCTTTCAGCAAGTCCATCGATATTCTGGCTGCGTGGATTTGAGGTACCATCTTGTTGGAACCACACAGCTAAATTCCTATGCTCATATAGTTTCGGCCTCGGAAAGTTACGTAACATATCCACATAACGGGCAGAAGCAACTGTAACTACGTTTCCGTTCTCCTCAAAAAATCTAGGTCTATAACCGCAAAATCTGCAACAGCGCATCAAACAGTAACTCGTTCACTATGGCGAGGTCACAGATTTGTCTTGGATTGTTCAGAGCCCAGTAGCGAAGGTTCTATTTGTTCACGCAAACCTGATAAATGGAAGTGAGCTTCATCGCTTGAGAGAAGAATAACGTCATGTGGAGCATTTTGCATGTCATATGGAACATTTTTTAGAATAGTTTCAGAAGATGCACTGCGGTTAGCCCTATCACGATCATTAAGTTCTTGCACGAGCATTATCTTATAAGGATGGAACTTCAAATGCAAAATTCTCTTTACACTCCAATCAGAAATCTACATAGCAGTAACATGCTTACGGGACGAACGTTGCAAAGATCGAAGAACGGCTTGTTTCACTGCTCCCACTTCATTGCTGTGGTATCCGTAAGCTACGAGGTCTGACAGAAGGTTTATGCTTTAAAGCCGAACTTGATCTTCGGAAATTTCGGACCCATAGCAAAATGGTTTTCTTATCGCTAAGTTTGACATTTCGATTGAGCCCAAAATGTTTATGAAATAATCGCTGTAAAGTGATGACAGAATCGGTCACCATTTTTAAAATACGCCTCCGTCACAAAATCACGATGCTCAGCGCTCCACAACATGATGGCTACTGAAATGCTGAAGCATCTGCTACTCAAAGCCATGACTCAATTCATGACACATGACTAATGATAGTGGGCAATCAGAGTTATTTCTGCCGCGCCTTATATAGACAAGTAAAGAAAATTCTAAATATATTAAAAAAATCGTTAATATTTTGAAGTTCTAAAAAGTGATTTTGGGGGGGGGGGTTGGGGGGGCAAATAAGTCTTCAAATTTTCATTGCTGGTCTGTTGTAAGGATGATGGAAAGTAGGTAACTCCTTCAATTTGAAGAGTGCTGTGACTTCGGAAGAAAATAAAAATGACTTCAGTACGTTGTTGCAAGAATTAGATCTATAAAAAGTGTTCGAAATCACAGCAATTTACTAGAGGAATGTACTGATGAACTACTGCACGAATGGCAAAACATACAACATAAGAAGTCACATCAGTGAGGCAAAACTAATAAGAAGAATCACAAAACCCTTTAAATATTCGGAACTGTTCAAATGAAATTTTGATCCTTTTATTAACTAAACTTAAAATTCTAATGTTTTAAACACCAGAAGCTTTTAAAATAATCAGAAATCTTTTTTCTTTCAAAATTGTTACTTCTGTTTTTAATAATTGTCTTTTAGTATTGAGAAACGTCTTTTCATGAAACCGATAAACGAAGGCATAATCTTTAAAAATCTTGGTTTAAAAAAGAATTTCGAGGGAAAAAAACTATGAATGCCGTTAAATAATATAAGGTATCCATTTGCATTTTATATTAACAAAGCCATCCTTCGATATTATTTATATTTTGGATTATCTACTATTAAATTATAACTTAGTATTAAACAAATTGAATTACTTTAAATTTTACTTGAAAAGGTTTTTCACAACGGTTTAAATTCTTATAGTGATCAGAAGAACGAAACATGCTATTCAGCACTTATTAATCCACCCGGTTTAATGTTTTAAATACTTACCCCTTGACAAGATTTGTTTGAAACATTAAAGAGGGCTGATTAATTTTTAATTTTTTTTCATAGCAATTTCAATGATTTCCCAAAATTTTTAACAAATATTAACATTCCGTACAAATCGCCATTTTTGACTAATCTAAATTTCCATTTTTGCAATTAAGACCTCTTAAATATTCCCAACCGTAAACCTTTTTTCCTTCAGACAGAATTATCTTAATTTTTGCTAATTTTGAACTTATTCTTATATATATATCTCAGCTTCTACATGAATAGAAAATTTAACTGTTTAACGTTCAAGATTCTATATGTAATGTTTTCTTTGTAAACTTCCATTGGCAGGGTCAACATGAAACGTACGCCTTACTATCTGAGTAACAGTTAGATGGTACTTGCACTTAGAATGTTGAAAATGTACTTTTGTGTGTGTAAGGGCTTAAACAGTTTCAGGGCTGAGAAAGATAATGATAAAATTTGTATATAATACGTTTAAATCTTTCTATTTTATTTGACATAATTTTGCCTATAAATTTCTGTATATTCTTTTTTTCATAATTTGCAGACAATTCGTGGATTTCGGCGCTCATTTCCAAAACTCATCATTACATGGTTAGCTGTTTTGCTCTCCGGAGGTTTATTGCTGATAGCAATGTCATGGAGGCGGCGCATATTCATGCGGTGCACTCACAGGCAATGTCCTTTAGAAGAGGCAGAAAAAGTACTGCTGGTGGTAAGAAGCTTTTAATCTCATTTTCATGCCCGAAAGTTAAAAAGCGGACTGATGTTAGACCTTCCAAAATTTTTATGATAATTTATTTTACATGACCAGTATATTTAAAATAAAAGACGCCTTTTTTAAATGTTTAAATAAATAATGGTGAGATGAGAAATGCAAATAAGGGTTTACAGTCTCATAAACACTTTGAAAATAGAAACACGGTTTATAAAAAAAGTACTCATACATTCTAAGCGCGAAAACTAATTTCAAGAAAAATTAAGTCTTGCTTTTGATAATAAGTTAGAAATATAACGAAATTTCGTAAATGATTTTGGACAGATGTTTTTAAAAATGTCATAATGCTTTACTAAGTATTATTAATATTTAATGTAATGATTTTTATAAATATTATTACTACTATAATGGCTGTGGAATTATTATATGGCATTATTGTAATGCAGTTTACCACATAGCTGTAGCTAAGAGTAAAACAACATTTTACTGCTTTTTGAAATCTTAAAATTTTAAAAATCTTGTTAAACATTTAATTTGTAAGTGTTCAATCACATGAAGTAGTTAAATCTCTTTTGAATGTAGTAAAAATAAGAAAAATATTATATTTACAATTATATTTCAAATGCGTAACGTGTAACATGACAGGCTCCTCGTAATGCAGCATGGATACAGCTAAATCTGTCGTAGCGTTGCCTGGTTTCCTTGTCAGATCAGAGCCATTGCTTACGAAAGTATTGAGAGAAGATATTCCAGTAACCTTTAGACCCATGTTTACACCGAAGGATCTATGATTGAGCAAGGTACTGGAGGTGGTGCAGGAATCTATTGCAACCTTTTGCATTCTATAAGGCACTGAATAGAGATACTATCAATTTTGATGGTGAAGTTGAGGCTATATTTATTGCTCTGAATATCAATTAAGCACTCGGAAGAGTAATTTCCCTCGGACTGTTATTTTGTCCGATAGCAAAGCCGTTTTGCAGGCTATCTAAAATAAAAATTTTGCAGTTCCGAAAGAATTTACGAATGTAGGAAAATTCTCAACACTTTGGCAGTTGTCTTACAGTGGATTCCGGCTCATTGAGGCATCGAGAGAAATAAAACAGCCGATTTCCTGGCAAAAAAAAAAGGAACGACTATTCTACAAACCGCTAATAACTATACGAGTCTTATTTCTGCAAAACTCCTAATTAAATTAGAATTTAAAAGGAGGATTTCCTGCTACCTGTCAAATCGAGCTAAGGGAAAGGCCTGAGAGTGTCTCACTAGTTCAAAGCCAGTTATTCCAGATTTTCCTTGTCTCGTAGCCATGGCGTTATTTCGTCTTTTGACTGGGTTCGATAGTCTGAATGCCCATCTTTTTAAAATTTGACATAAGGAATCTTCAGTCTGTACATTTTGTAACTCTGGACAGTCCATGGATAGGTTGGTTGGTTGGTAACGGAGGACGGGGACGCCTGATGTCTAACAGAGGTAAACAGGCATGTGTCCCGCGCCCTCCACTAACCGGGAACAACTCCCTGGGGCCTCAAGAGGCCGCCTCGGGAGCTGTTTAGGATGTTAACAAGAGCATTTGCATGGCCATACAAGGGCAGATTGCATTCGTTTACCGTTTTGACATTTGTTGTTGCAATTTGCTATGGTAATTTTGCACATTCACAATAAAATTCAAATAAAAATACAAATTAAATATACAGATGCAAAAATACAGTTACAAAATAATAGGATCAAAATACAGGCTCATAGGAAAATAAAATAAAATAAAATAAAATAAAATAAAATAAATAAAATAAAAATAATAAAAAATAAAAAAAATTAAGTATTATGCATATACAGAAGAGGAAATGTTAAATACATTTGATTGTACATTATTTGGAAAGTGTCTGTAATAGGGACTTATGTAAGTTTTAGGAGTAGAATTATGTGTCTGAGAATGTGGAACTGCATGCTGATTAGTTATCATCCTTGAGAGTTTTGGTTAATGAGGAGAGCACAAATCTTGGCCCATTCTCTTGAGCTTGTTAACAACTTTGCAAATTGTATTTACTGCCGGTTTTTGTGCTTTATAAGGAAGCGGTGATAAGCTTCACTATTGTTGATGGAAGAGGGAGGTGATTTCCTGCTGTCAGATGGCATTCAAAAACATAGTGGTCTGGGGAGCCTTCCGCTCCGCAGGCGCATATGTCCGTGGTTGTTATGCCATGTCTATTGAAGTAGGTCGGGAATGGCCGTGTCCCGTAATATAAGCCGTAAGAGGAGCTATTGCAATGTTGATTCAGTGCTGACTTTCGGGAGGTAGCTGTATGTACGTCTTCCAGTTGTGCAGTGCGTCCAGTCTTCTGCCAAAGATTTAGGCCTTGACCCCGTAATAGCCCTTTCAGTAGGAAGGAGGGCTGGGATTGTGATTTTTTTCAGCTTCTGGATCAGTGGCTGCTTGCTTGGCCAGGCTATCAGCTGCTTCATTCCCCTCATTTCTGCATGTGCCTTGATCCATGTTAAGGAGAGATGTTTCTGCGGGTTGCGCTGTAAAAGTTGTAATTTGATGATCAAGGGCGAGGTTGTGGTTGTGATTATCTAGTGCTAGAAGCGTTGACATACTGTCAGTGAAAATTTTCGCCCCGTTCTATATTATTATTGAAAATGTAATCTACCGCGGTTATAATTGCTTGCACCTCCGTCTGGAACACACTGTTGTTTAAGTCAAGGCGTCCTTTCCATATATGGATGATTATTCCTTTGTCATAGTGTGCAAAGGCGCTGCCTACTCCGTCTTCCTGCTTAGAGCCGTCGGTGTATATTTGCGTATCCCTTGAAACTCGCGTCATTGACAGTGGCTGTATCCGTGAGATGTTAATTTTTATTCCTGTGCCTTTGCGTGCAGGATGAGTGTGAACAGTGTTACCTGGGCTTTGAAATTGCAGAGGGCTGTATGTTATGTTGCCAAATGTTGCATCTTGCGGAGGTTATATGAGGTGGTGTAGACTGCCTCTTGTTGCCCGTATGTGGAGTGGAATGAGCCCTGCAAGGACTGTCGCTGAGCTGGTGGCTGTGGTGCGGTACGCTTTACAGAGATTCAGGGCGAATGGTCGTTGAAGAGATGTAAGATGTTTGATCTTTCGTCCTACCCATCGGTTGGGCCCATACGGCAGCAGCATACAAGACTATTTTTTCAGCTACCACATGGTAGAGGATCTTCTGAATATGATGATTCTGACCCCAGTTTTTACCTTGGAAGGCGCGCGCCTTTCTGTCTCTATAGCTGATGTTTTGTTCTTTAGTTCTTGGATGTGAGAGGAATCCAGGTTAGTTTTTTATCCCAGATTACACCTAGGTATTTTAGCGTTTGGACAATCTTTATGTTGGCTCCTTGTAGTTTGATGCAGGGGCGGCGCGTTGGATTCGTGCCAGCTTTGGGTATTATTATTGCTGATGACTTTGCGGTAGAGATTGTAAGCTTTAAGTTGCTGCAGATATTGGCGAGGAGGGAGCAGACTTCAGTGCCGTTTGTATGTCGTATGACGTTTGTATGCCGTTTGTATGTTGTATGACACTTGTATGTCGTGGCCAGTTTGCATCCAGTACAGCGTTGAATGTTAAATTCCAGAGAATCGGTCCAGCACAAGAGCCTTGAGGACATCCTCTTTCTTGCACTTTGAAGGTAGTGTCGTTGTTGATGGCTATGAGAAGACTACGATTCTCTAGATAACTACTAAAAACGCTGAAGAGGTTGGATGGACACTGTGCGTCTCGGAGGGCCTGTCTTATCGCTGGCCACCAGAGTGTGTCAAACGCACTCTGGAGGTCAATGGATATGAAAGCTGTATCGGAAACCTGTGGTGCTATTGCGTTGAATTGTTTCACGAATTTTGCAGAGGGCATGCGTAGTGGACAGACCAGTGCGAAAGCCCATACTGCCTGGGGCTGAGATGATTGTTGCTATGGAGATGATATTTTTAGTCTGTTAACAATTAATTTCTCGTAAAATTTTGCCCAGGGTTGGCAAAAGCATATCGGGCGAAAAGAGCGCGGATCTTGCGGGTTTTTGTTCTTTTTGAGGAATAGGACAACTTGTCCTTTCTTGAATGCCTGCCGGAATATTTGATTGTCAAACAGTTGGTTAAAGAATTTGTGGAAGAAGGAGGGGCGGGCTTTGTAGGCAACTTTGATGATGTTATATAGTCCAGGCCGTCGGGACCGGGGGCCTTTTTCAGGGGTAGGCGTCAGAAAATTTGCTTGACTTCCTTGTCACTAAATGGTATATCATGTGGAGTCGGTGGGATGGTGGTATTCATGCGAACAATTTTCTGTGCTGGCATATCTTCCTCCGCGTGGCCGCTAGTATGTTGTTTTTGTAAAGAGCTCGCTCTTTGCGGAATGTCGCCAATAGTTGGATTTTCCTGTCTTCATTGGTGGTGGAACTTCATTGGCGTCTGATAGCTCTGCATTTTTGCCGTTGTTGTCTGAGCTCTTTCGTCCACCACTTAACTCCTTGTATTTTCTTCGCTGCGCGTGTGGGGAGTAGTTCACTACAGGCTGCTTTAAGGTTTTCAAGTAGTCGGGCTGTGAAAATCTCCATGCCTTCTGGGCTGTTGTGAAGCGCAAGGTTGTTTTCCTCATTGCTTAAGATGCGTGTGAAGGAGCGACTGAGGGAGCGGATCTTGTTGCCTGGAAGCCTGTACCTACGTAGGACTGTGATTTCGTGTCACAGTTTATGAGAAAGTGAAGGTATTTGTGATCGGAGCAGCTCTCTCATCATCGACCACAGTCCAGTCTTGCACTAGGTTTGCGATGCTGCTTGAACAGAGGGTGAGATCTGGCCAGCCCACATGATAGGTATTATCAAATGTAGGTGGGCAATCGGGTGTATTAATAGATGAATGTTATTGGCTGCCAGAAAGTCCTCAAGCTCCTGTCCCTTCGTCGTAGTATCTGCATATCCCCATATGGTGTTATGCGCATTAAAATCACCACTAAGAAGCAGAGGGGTTGAAGGGCAT